TAGAAGAGGCTGCTGCTCTGGATAGAACAGTGTTGGAGCACAGGATTTTCTACCTCTTAGTTGGAGCCAAGACTGAATGGCATGTGCTCAGGAGTCTGGGGCTTCTGTCTCTGTGGTGCCTTTGAGATTTCACATTCGCTGACTGGTTGCAAATGAGGTAAGTGCCTGATGGGGAGAAAATAACATGTAACTGCATGCTAAAGATTGTATCATACTGGAAGCAGCGTCCTAAATGTGTTCACTGATTATCAGCACTGCAAACTAATATTCACTGTTGCATGAACTACTTCACCTGGACCAAAAAAAAAAAAAGCCTTTTTTTAAATCGTGTTCAACATTAGATCATCATGTCTGCTATGGCATTACTGCTCTTAATTGGAAAAAACATGCTGTCATTTAGCAATTGGGTTTTAGCACTGAGGATTTTTGTTCTTACTGCAAATTTCATGAACCCTGGCACTTTTGAGTACCTCCTTGCTGTCTTCAGCATCCTTTCCTAATCTTCTTTTCCTCATACCAATCAATAGACAGAGCAGTCTTTTTGTCTTGCAAATAGCTTTATTTTAGCTGTGTATTTTGACTCTGCACTTAACTAGGATTGGCTTTAAACAAAAAAGAGCTTTCTTTAATTCTGGATTAATAATTTTTGATCACTTAAACTATTTTTTTTTTTTTGTTTTCACTTTTATCCACTTTTCCCGTCATGCTTAAGTCCCCCAAAACAACTGATTGCTTTGAAATGAGAAGCACATAAGTTTTTGAGTTTTCTTAGAATTACTGTTTGGTCATATTCATTTATGTGCACTAAGTGCAATCCATTCATAATCCCACCAGGCTGCATATGCAACCAATGATTTCTAGTTCTGATAATTTGTGGTTTTTTTTATTTATCATTCTGAGACTTGCACCCCTGTCTTGCGGTGCCATCCATGTCTGCAGATGAACTGGTTTAGAGCTGCCTTTATTAGATGTCCAGCAGATGCCTGTTCTAAAATGAATAAATATTTTAATATATTGAATGGATATTTCCAGAAAAACTGGTCCTATTTTCTACTTTGATTTTGATCACTTACTGGCAATCTTCCAGAACTCTGAGAGAAATCTCTGATTAGTACAATCTGAAACTTTCATATGTCTGAATTGTAAAGTCATCTTTCCTTCCTTTTCCTTAATTTTTCTCTTGTTATCCTTTCCTGCTGTTTCCTAGCTCATTATACAAATGATGACTTTAACTTTTCTTGCTGTGTTTAACTTCTTTCTTTCCCAGATTTAAAATCTAAAAACAAAAATCAAGCAAGCCCATTTAATTATTTTCCAGCACTGCAAATGTGATGATGCACAGTGAATGACAGTGAGGGTGTGGGATCATGGATTAATTTGCCAGTTGGATTTATAGTGGGAAGTTTTCCATAGGGCAACCATTGCCCTTTAAATTTTAAAGCCTCCAATAATTGTTTAATTAGTAGATACTTGAATGAGACCTGCTTTTGCTGGTTTTGATTAATTTTGTTTTGTTTTTGGTTTTTTTTTTAATTTTTGTTTAAGCCTGCTTTTGTTTAATTAGTAGATGCTTGGAATGAGACTTGCTTTTGCTATGTTGGAGGTGCTCTCCTCAGAGTCAGCAGGCTGGAGTATGCAAGTGTTCTTCAAGATGCCCCTACAAAATCCAGCCCTTTGGCTTAAGCTGCTGTGGGAGCTGGCTTTGAAGATCTTTTTCTGGTCTCACTAATGGATGTTCACCTATTTCTGTTTCATTCACCAGTACCAGCTGGAGAGATTGTCTTAAACTACTGCAGCTATTTACTACTTAATGCACGTCTGTGCCCAAGGTCTTTTGCCAGTAGCCTGCAAAGAATTCAGGCAATCTAAAGAGTAATGGGGCTGTCTTTCAATGCAAGGTTGAATTTAAGCTTTATTAAATATAATGCAAGCTGTCTTTGATATTTTCTGACTTTTGACTGATTAAGCAGAAATCAGCTCAAGTTCTGCCTACATTGGCAATGCAGACTGCAGAGGGTGCTTAAAAGGAGAGTGTCCATCCTCCTCTCCCTCAGGAGTCTCAGTTGATAGATGTTTGCACCCAGAACCCCCACACCCCTGTTTTAGCTTTTCTGGAGGTTGTTCCCTGTCAGCATGCTGCTAGTATTTCCTTGTCCCCCCATCTGCTATTTGCATCACTTTGTCTCCCTCTTACTGGAGCAGAACTGGTGGCAGTGTTTGTTTTTTTGCACAGCCTCATTACAGTAACAAGACCCTTAAAATACCATCCTTTGGCTATGCACAGACCCTTTCAGGCATGGCCCAGCCCAATCTGTATCTAGCTGCTGAATTGTAATTGGAGCAACCAGACTAATCTCACCAATAAAATCTGTCAAACAGAAGGCATGACTTTGTCTTTCCTCCCTCTGTCATGACAGCTGTTATGGAGTGGTCAGGCTCCTGACCTCAGGGCATGTTTTTCATGCCTTACATAAAAATCTTCAGATCGTGCAGGCACAGTAGTTCAGATGGAGAAAAGGTGTTTTGATTGCTTGTTCATTCAGCCAAAAATAGCAAGAGTTACCTTTTTGGGCTTCCCTCTCCATTTGTGTTATGTATCAGAGTTCAAATCTGCTGTGAAATGAAGAAGCTACACATGATATCTTACAGAAAATATAATTTAATTGAATGCCATTGTGTCAGGTACAATTATAGTTCCTTGTTTCAGAAACATTTGTAATTTATTTTGTTATCACTTTTTGTGATGTACAGGAGCTATGTTACCTCTTATACTGAAATTTCAGTGAACTGCTGGTGCAGCTGCCCTCTGAATTGATGGCACTGTGAACTTTGAAGATGTAGGAGAAAGTTGATTTGAAAAAGAGGGAAGAAGCAAGGATTTCTTCCATTTGACTGGTACCATTCAGAGTAAAACTAACCTTTCAGAAGCACTCAACTTCGATGAAGTGTGATCACAAAAAAGCATTATATACCTTCTAGGCAATTTCCCCTCACTGCTACTTTTCAACATTGTTTCAGTTTGCTAGAATGCTGCTCCAAGGGACAAGAGTTCAAAATGTGTATCTGACAAAATACTCAATGTGCTGAACAGCACTCCTGAATGCAAACACATGCACAATTGCTATTTACACAGTTCAGTGGATGTGTATTTTGATAAGTTTACAATATTAGCAGTAACTCCAGGCACCCTGTCTTAACAGTATTTAGGCTGAGCTGCTTAGATAAAATGTGCAGGAGATTTACTACCTATGTGGGGAATTTCTGGTTCTTGGTGAGATATGCGAATTAGTATAGAGTTGGGATTATAAACTACTAAGTAAATTTACCACTGTTATGGATTATTCTTTATCCTTTCCAATTCTGATGGCTTTTACTGAATATATACCCTATGGAAGACTTCTCTTCATCTTGTTTAAATTCCTGGTGAATCTGTTACATTGAGTTAAAAACTCCCATATTGCCAGATTGTGTTACAGTAATTGGTATTTTTACTTCATCTCAGCAAATGTCCACACTTCCTTTCTGACCAGGCTGACTGGGCAAAGGGTGTGCCTTGTGTATTTTTGTTCACTGGGTCTAACTGCCTGCATGACTGCCCTGTAGTGTCCCTGCACACTTTCCTTCAGAGATGAGGAATGAGGAACTTAATCATCCAACTTCTGCCCTTCCTCCTCACGCTCAAAACAATGTTGAATAGTTGGCATTTTAGCTGAAGTTTAATACAGTTACTTGTTTGCCACTTTGGTGCTTAACTTCTCTTAGATTAACTTGAACTAATTTACCTTTGTTGGTAATGTTTAGACTGTCTCTTACCCAGTGGAAGAATAATTTGGTATTACCTGAAGCAGTTGCTATTGGAGCTGTTAAATTATTTCATGATTGTTGAAACTTCTGCAACTTGCTAGAACCACTACGTTTTTGTAAAAATGCTTCTTTAAAGGATCTTGAGAAGTGTTGGTGGGGTACAAGAAGGGAGCAGCTGCTGCTGTGATCTTTTTGCTTCATCCTGACTCTTAAATACACCCTCTGCTTTGGAGACCTTCAGGTCCCTGTTTTCATTAGGTTGTGCCAAAGTGATGCCACATCAGTGAGTCAATTGATGGCAGTGCACTTGTGGGAGAGGAGAGTCTTGCAGTGCCCATGTGTTGGCTTAGATGGAGGAGGGGCAACAGAGGAGCTGTGTGCCACAGCACTGAGGCCACTGTCAAGGCTGGACTTGGTGTGGGAGAGTGGCTGAGACCAGAGTTTTGTATGTGCAGCAGGGAGCTGCATAACAATTTTGATGAGAAAATGTATAAAATGGCCAGCAGAATGTTTTTTGCATAACTGAAAATGCAATACGTGGTGATATCTGTGGATAATGAATTCTCATTGAGATTCTAGAGCTCAGAGGTCCTTCAAAATGTATGGACTGCTGCTCTGGCTCAGGGAACAAGGCATCTGATGTGTTGGTGATGGAAAGAGAGAAGTGTTTGGGTGGAGGAGGTTTAAGGAAAATTCTCTAAAATACTCTATGCCTTAGACTTTGTGCTTCACTGCAGGTCCTGAAAATCAGAGTTCTTCTGATGGAGCATGTATGTCATCCTTGTAAGCCACCCTTTATGCAAGGGACATCTTCCACAGTGTTATCAAGAAAAGCAGTCCAATCAAAAATGCTTTCAAAACAATTTTGTAGCTTGCTGCAATTGTTATCTACTTCCTCTTCTACTTTTTCTTCTTCATCCTTTTGCCCAGTACTGTGAGAGTAGCATGACTTGTGCTGCTGGCCATGAGTTAGTAACATGTCCTGGCTGAGAGCAAAGGATTTCTTAAGAACTGTCACCTTCTGTGAGGCTGGGACTTGGCCTGATGCTGGCCTGGGAGCAAGGAATCAAGCCACCATCCCCTATTGATTTCCTTGTCTGGCTCCAGGAAGATGGGTTTGTGTGTTATCACTAGGCTGCTTTTGGGGTTAGTTAAAAGATAGCTCTATGGACTAAGTGGGTATTTTTGCATTTCAGGAAGAAGAAATGCCAGAGGTAGAAATTGACATTGATGACCTTCTTGATGCAGCCAATGAAGAGGAGAGAGCTCTCAAATTACAGGTAATATTATTTTATCGTGTTAAATCAGAAGGTGGCTGAAGTAATGCATCTGGATCGATATTTTGTGTTTGATTGAATCCACTGTAAATGTCATGGAGAGATTCCTAGATCCACTCTAGCATAGTCTACCAGACTGTTCAAAGTTAATAAAAATCCTTTTAGATAAATCCTTTTAGAAGGTAGGTGATAACACTAGTAAATAAAAGTTCAAAGAACCCAGTAATAGAAGGAAATATGCTAAGCCAAATTAGCCTCATTCTGAATTGTACAAGTATATAAAATAAAGAACACAAAACATAGGAAAATGAAGAGCAGCATATGGAAAAAGCTATATGACTGAGAGTCAGTTATGATGACCAGATAGTTTCTGTGATTCACTTCAGCCGTAGAAATGTATATACAGACCAGAAATCTTCCCTTGTGCTTAGGCTACTGGCAATTATTTCTTTCTATACCAGAAAGAAATTGGAACCCATGAAAAAGTTCAAAGAAAGGGTAAGATGGTCAGGAGCCGGAATTAGTTGGGAAATTCAAAAGCTATCTGCTGAAATTAAACAGTTTAAACCAGCTCTCTAAACTTGAATCTTGTGTGAGGTAGGAATTAATGAATGGAAGAATGAGGGGGAAAAGAAAAGAAATATCATTGCCTTAATACAAATCTCTCTCTAAATCAATATACAAACCCAATAGGAAATGTCTCCATTTATAATCTCTTCAGATGCACTAAGAAAAGGCAGAGTGTTCTAGAGTCATGGCTTGCCCTCAGCTTGCTCCTGGGAGGTGACTAATGTGGTGCTTCGATGCAGCACATCTCATTTTGGTGCCTGTTAGCACCCTTTTCTCAGTGCCCGCTGGCCAGCCACAGAGACTGGGGCATGGCCCCAGGCTGTTTGCTCAGCGTTCATAAATAGCTTTGCTGCTTCTGCCTGAACTAGCTGCAGCAGCCCCCTGCTAGGAATGCCCTGCTAGGAATTACTAACGTCTCTACTTCTGCGTTGCAAAGACACTCATGTCCTCACAGAAAGCTGCCTTTCACATGTCTGTTCCTGGGAGAAATGTTCTTGGATTCTCCTCCTCTTCTCAGTTTTCCTTGGAGACAGGGGTTTTGTAACTTCCTACAGGGAGAAAGAAGCCATATTTCTCTCCTGGTACAAATCATTCTGATCCACATAGGGAGCAAAGGTGACTTGTATAACTTTGGGGTTTCACTAACATCTTCATTCAGTAATTTCTGTTCTTGCTTATTTTCTTTCTCCCCTCCCTTGCCAGGTTCCATACCATGACTTGTTTATGTTCACTATTACTCTGTATGGATACTGACACTTTCATATTTTGCTTCTAGGAAACTCTTGTAGATTGCTACAAACCAACAGAGGTAAAAGACTTTTTTAAAATGCTATTAACCTGTGGAAACTGTAGTTATGTTCAAGATAAAGTAACCTTTTTTTTATACTTATAATAAAGTAATTAGATTAATACTAATGGCTAGCTGGAATACTTGGAGCTTTATATACTAAAAATGCTTATGCCTGTCACTTAGCTACAGTAGGAATGTGGTTGTACCCTTTGGAGGAACTGCTGGTCATTCCCACTGAATTATCAATATTGGTTGCTGTAATGTCCTTCTGGCTATAATGACTTTTAAAGCTGCTCTATTACAATAAAACTAAATATAGTTATCATCAGATGGCAAAAATATTTGCATGTTGGACTGTGCTCTTGACTGTGAAATCATTTAATTTTATCTAGGACAACAGTAAAATTTATTCTGAGAACTTTTATGCAGATATGCAGCTGAGGTAATTTTTTGTGTGAATGGACTTGAATAAAATTGTGGGATAACCTATACTAGCAGGATTTAGTTACTCAACTTTTAACTTGTGTATCTATTGATGTGTCCAGTGCCATTATAGCCTGCTTTTCATACAGTAATGTGTGCTTACTAGGAAGAGTAAATATTATAAAGAAACCCCTTTGACTCATTGTAAAAATCAAAAGTCTAGGTGATGGGTCACTTAGTTCCATTTGTAGAGTCAGTTGTTTCCCAGAAGTGGCTGCTGCACAGTGTTTAATAGAGGGGTTGGCTTACAGGATTCCTCTTGTCACAGACCTTTCAGCTGTGCATGACTAGAAGCCAGGTGTTTGGTTTTGAAATAAGGCTGGAAATAGGTTTGTTCTTCTGTAATGTCTGCAGCTGTAGCCACATAAACTGATGGGGCTCAATGACAGTCAGACTGTCAGGAAGAACTGCTGGTATGGTTGAATCGGCACTTCACAGTCCATGACATATTTTCTTCAAGGCTTTTCCATTTTTATTGATTCCTATGGTAGATTGGGAAGATTCTCCAGAATTGCTATTATAGTTGCGGGTACAAACATTTTGACAGTGGGGAATTGACCCAGAAAGACTCAGCTTATAACACCTGTAGAGTTTGTTGTGTGCTGTATCTCTGTTGCCTTACAGCAGGTAACACACATCTTCCATTATGGAGATGCCATAATGCCAAGTCTTCAGCTGTCTCACTATAGTAATGCTACACTACAAATGACCCTTATGGCCTTCTCTAAGCAAGTGCCATTGAACCTTGGTGCTTCTTAAGATAGGTGTGAAGATGGATGCAGCATATGAAGCCTGGTGTAGTAAGAGAAAGCTGAAGTCATGACTACGTGAGAGCAACAGGTTGCCAAGGGCTTACCAGTCAGTCATGTGCTGACCTCTTATCTCTGTGCTATCTGAAGGCAGAGGAAGAAGGCAGAGATCCTGTAATTACTCTTCTTCCTTCTTCCTTCTTCATGCCATATGAATGATTTTTTTTAGCTGTGAAGTTTGACACAATGCAAGGACAAATTTCAGACAGCTGATAAGGATACATGACAGATGACAGTGAGTGTTCCACTGGAAACCTTGGTTCTAGAACTACAGGGAAGATTTGTGCCATACTGGTAAATTGAGTTGGTGTGGCACTTCTCAGGAAACAACATCCTGGACACATCCTTGTCTGCCCTCAAGGCACCTGGATCAAGGTGAGATTTTAGTACTGAACTGGTGACCTGTGTCTTTAATCCTTTGTGGATGGGATGGAGGTAGCTCCCTTATCTGTGAAAATTTTCATCTTCCTTGACTATCTATAGAGATATAGCCAAGTTGAGACCACTCCCCCTCTACAACCAGCTGAAAGGAGGTTGTAGACCGATGGTGTTGGCCTCTTCTCCCAGGAACTAGTGATAGGAGAAGAGGACATAGCCTCAAGCTATGGCAGGGGAGTTTAGGTTAGAAGTTAGGAAGAAATTCTTCACAAAAGGGTTGGTAGATATTGGAATGGGCTGCCAATAGATGGAGTCACCACCATGGACGTATTCAAGGAAAGGTACTTTGTGCCATGGTTTAGTTGACAAGGTTGTGTTTGGTTGTAGTTTGGACTCAGTCTCGGAGGCCTTTTCCAACTTAATTGATTCCCTGATTCTGTGAGAATAGATTCCAAAATGAGTCACATCCCAGGACTATTTTACAACAGCAACTTTTCTTTATCTATGGCATGGTGAGCTCAGTAGTACTGCATAACTGCTAGCTTAGGCCACTTAAAAATGATGATTTTTATCCTGCCATGTGTGGACTAAAGAGCCTTTTCGTTGACTTAAACTTGCTATATAAGGATCCACATCTTGTCTAGAAAATCTGCAATCTTTTTATATTTGCAGACCATTCAAAACTATTGAGATAGTTGGCTTGTGGAAGGATTTTTAGAAGATTTGTGGAGAATGGATATGAACTAATGGAATTTCTCCTGACCGATGAAATACAATCTGCCAAGTGCACTAGGGGTTTTATCATCAAGAGTTATACAATTTGCAAAAGATAGTGATCCCTAACTGGGGGAAAAGTTATGTAATATGATGTCCCGGCTATTCAGAATATCAAGAGAAATAGTACAGGCAAAAAGGTTAATAACTCAAAGCTCTTACCCAGCTGTGGAAAAAACCTTCTAAATCTGCAAGTGTATATCTTAAGTCAGTTTTGCTCAGTATCTTCAATTTAGACTAAAGGTTAAGGAAAGACTGAGGAATGTTTCTATGTATCCTGGATTGACTCTTCATCAGGAAGCTGAGTTATCCAGGTCACTTAAAACATAGGAAGAGTTCCCAACTTCTTTAATAATTTGGCCAAAGATAGTATCTGACTAACTAATGAGGAACTGCTACAAAACCTTTCTTCTAATGGAAATACCACTAGACTGTTGAATGTACTTTAAACTGTTAAAAGCTTTTCTTAGGTAGCAGTTATAGCTGTTTTAATTTGTATGGAAATATGCTTAATGTGGGACCTTTATGTAAAGAATTATTAAGTACACAAAGGATTTAGTATCTGCTAAATCAGTGCCATAATCAAATTTTGGATCTGAACTTTTGTAATTGAAGAGGAGAAGGGAGCAGCATCCTCTTCCTGCATCATCTGTGTGCCAGTCAGTTCTTCATACAGTCCCACATGTCCCTTGTGGAAAATCCCACTCTGACCTTTGAGTTGCTGTCTCAGCTGTGTCTGATGTTCTCTGTCATCACCTGATGGTGGAGAATCTTAATGTTCACAGTGAATATAACAGATTTAAATATAATGTGCAATCTTGATGATCTTTAGATACTTCACAATAGATTCTTATTTAGGATAGGAAGATAGTTGTGATTGTGAAATCCATGAGGTTTTTTCAAGACAAATATTTTGAAGAAGGCTGACTAAATCTGTATTGCTGTTATCTCTGCTATTGGTAACAGCAAGGCCACTTATTTAGACTGGGCATTGGAGAAAATTTGAAGTATTTATGGCTGATGTGAATTAGAGCTTCCAGTAGTGGGAAAGCAAAGTGATGAGTGGAAAAATGACAAGGAAACTCTTAAACTGCTATGGGAGAGAAATCCAATGAGTGGGCAATTTTTATGCTCACTGGCTCCAAAAGATGCAGCTGAGCAACACAAGGTCTGCAGATAATGAGTGTTTGAAGAGAACTGAATAAATTAGATTTGCAGTTTATTTACTTCTTTGTTTTCTTATAGAAATATACAAAGCTAAGATGAATGAGCTGGAGATCTCTCCCATTCAGGCAGGATTAAATCTATTTTGTTAGTACAATTCTTCACTTAGTGCAAACTGAGAGAAAAAGGAGATGGAATTGCATCATAAAAGGAAGTTGCATAGCTGGAAGCTTCTAGTAATAATTTTTAATATGGTTTGCAAACAAACTATATTGAATTGTTGTGCATATTTTCTGGAGAACTTTGGCAGAGATTTCATTACTGACTACTCAATTACTCCAGTGGTTGGGCTATTTCAGCAGCTTCTAACACTTTTGAAAAAGGTAGAGATGCATTTGCTTAACTGTATGTTTCTCCAAGTTTAATTCCTAGTTGGAGCAAATGACAGGCTTGTGAGGCAACTTTTTAGAGTTAGCTAAGCGCTGTGGTTTTAAAGATAAAAGCTGTTTTGTGTATGTATTGGCATATTGTACATTTTTAGTATACAGGCATGAATAGAAAGCTCAATGCTTCTGAAACAGAACCCCATAACCCCAAACCATAAGGTTTGAAGGATCTTATGTTTATTTTGCTCCTAATGTGTTATCAATTATTTCCAGTTAATGTTACTGTTTGTTTTTTCTATTGCAAGGCAGCAATATATAGGATACCCACAAGAAGCAATAGTCACTGCAGATGTTTCCTAAAGCCTCAATGCACTGTGCTGCCTTACATCTGGGCAAGCCAGGGCAGCTGATAGGTGGTAAATTATTAAGTCACAGCAAATGTATTTTATGTCCATATTACTTGAAATGAAATGGGAGAATTTGTAAAGAAAAAAGGTTAGAAAACATGCTTGTTTAAAGCAATGCAGGCAGATGCATTTGAAGTAAAACATGATTTCTTGCTCATCCATTTTACCACTGAATTCAGTGGACTAAACCTTTTTATGTGTCTGCTGAGATCTGCCCTATATTGTACTACAGCGTTGGAGGGAATTAAGGTTGCATGTTTTCATTTCTGCAAGTAATCATGAACACAATTAATAAATACCCATAGCAATATCAGAAGGGAAGAGCAAGTGGTGATTTGACAAGAATAAGCTGTGCTTGTTTACGTGCTGCTGAATTGGAGAATCATTGGGCTGCAAGTCTTAACAGTAGCTAAGCTTTGTGGTATGTAGTTAGTGCCTCATATAGAGCTCACCAGAAAGCTAAAGTGCTGCAAAAATGTCGTGCTCTGGTCACTGATGGTGCTGTGGCCTCACTGGAGAGGGCATGTTGAGGGCATCATTCAGTGAGGCTACAGAGATGCTATGCTGGTTCTTGCTATAGAAGGAATCTTCTGGCCCTGTTCTCCCAAAGCAGGGAGAACAGTTGCCTTTTCTCTGTACAATTGGCTTTAGGAGGGGTTTGAGCCTGTGTGGAAGAGGTGTTTGGCAGTAAGATGGGTTATTATTTAGGTTCTTTCCCAACCAGCTATGGGATTGCTCTCCAGGCTGACTTTAGTTTGTACATCCAACTAATAAAGCCATCTCCAAGAAATGGCCTTGGGCAAACAGGTAATCTTGGTTTTTGACCTGGCTACAGGGAAGTAAAGCTGTGAAGGAAAGCTGACTTAGGATTCATTTCATGCTCTAGTGAAGCAGGAGGACTACAAACTCTAAATCTTAGTTTAAAAACTAGTCCTACTACATGTGTACTATTTGAGGAAGAGAAATCTGGAGAGGCAGAGTCTAATTAGTCTCCAGAATTAATTGGAAGACTTGAATAGGAAGCCTGGAATTCATTGTCTGTCAAATGACCTCATTAAAACAATGAGTCACACCACCAAAGCAGAGAGGTGAAGTGATTTCCTCCCCTTTCCTGAATTATCATTTCACCTTTGTTTTTTGCCTTGATTATTTTTTTGCCTAAGGCTGAATATAGATGAGTTTAAATGAACTATAGATTTTGTCTGCTTCTCATTAAAATTTGCCTTTAGAATTAGAAAGATGTCTTCTAGAAACAATGATTTAGTATTACAAATTAAAAAGAGTCTCAATACTTGTAATAAGGGTGCCTCCTTGCAGAAAATCTGTAAAAAAAAAAAAATTAACTAAGTCTGCATACATTTTTGCACTTTGTAAAAACTTTGTTTTTTATTTTATTTACCAAGGCACAAAGTGCTGGTGTGAGATTTTTCTTGCATTAGAAGTGCGTGCAGCCTGTGTATTCCTGGCTATAACCCTTCAAGGAATAATGAATAGGTTTTTGAATCCTTAGCTGTATTATTCTTGTTTTTTAACTCCATGAATTACATCAGTATATATAGGTAGATAATTCAAGCTGTATTACGGAAGTGCTTTTAACATAGATTAGTACATGATCAGCTTTCAAACGTCTGATGCTGAATTTCACCATATCTTGTTAGGGAGGATTTCAGTAAAATGCTCTGTGTAAAATGATTTTTGTGTCCAAGGTAGAGATAAATGTGGATATTAAGTCTTGACTCAAATGGCCACAAGGAGCAACACTGCAATTTTTGAGTGATGGCTGAAGAAAACAAAATTGGTATTGCTGATATCAACCTGTTTTGGTTAGTTATAAGGTGAAGGTTTACTGAAATGCTGTGAGGTCTTCTTTCTGCCTCCATGAGGGAAAATGTACATCTTTTCTAGAGCGCTGATTTTCCTTCATGGGGAAGGGAAAAGCAAAGCAAGAAAGGCACAAGCACCAGAGCACAACTGTGTTGATGACAGCCAGCTCCATGTGAGTGTCAGATGCAAAGTGATACTTAAATCAGAAATGTGCTGAACCAGTGCTGTGGTTTGGGTATCTGTGGAAGTGCACAACAGCGCGACTGCATTATGCAAAATGTCTGCCACATGCAAAATGCTCTTGTTGGGTTTTACTCTTTGGTTACTGCAGACCCTTATTTCAAGGGGGAAAAAAGTTTCTGGAGGATAAAGCCTTTAAAGTTTCTATATGTACTTCTTCAAATGAATGCCTTCTCTGCCTTAAGAATACTTGCAGTTGCTTCAGATCTCCTTTAGGAGGTTGACCCTACACTTTGATTTATTTTGGCAATATTAAGTTTCTGGATAGTGTTAAACTTGCCTGAAAACTTCAAGCGAATATCTTGTTTTGCAAAAGAAGGGGCTTTTGATAACTCTTCAAAGTTAAGGGGAGGAATTCCTCACTTTTGCTATAATGTCATATTAAAAAGCAACTGACCCTTGGCTACATTTGACATTCAAGAGAAATTTTCTTCAGACTCTACTGAGTTGTGGGAGAATGGGCAGAGGAATGGCAGGTTGGGATGTCCCTAATGACTGCAGAGTACCATAGGTGTTCCTGTCTGCAGTTGTCCCTTCCCATAAGGCTTTTACTTCAGTGAAGCTGCTGGAGAGTTTCCAGATGCAGTGTCTTCTTGTAGAATATTTGTGGCTTGAACAGACAATTTAAAAAGTTTTTCTAAGAGAAGAACTGCACTTCGGCCCATTCTTCTCCAAAGCTGTCTTAATCTGATGGGACTATTTTTTAAAATGGAAAGACTTGCTGGGAGGCAGTACAAATGACACTAATACCAAGTAAAAATCTAAGATTGCTTTATTTCTTTAATGATTGTACTGCAGGGCTTTATATAAGTTTGATAGTAAAAAATCCTGAAGTATGTTTATATGCTTCAAGCAGCACCATGCCATATAGTTTTGCATAATGTAACAGATCCTTACAGTGATGATGTGATGACTCAGAATTAATGCAAAGTTTGTTGAAAGCTGTGAATTTTTACAGTAAGCATGTCTTCCTCCTAATTTTTCAGTGGAGAAGCACTGGACTGTGACAAGTTTAAAGTTGGTACTGTTCCAGTGGTGGCTTGTGCCTCTGTGAAGTAAGACAGCCTCAAGAGGATGGAGGGAGAGGATTTGGGGGTCTAAAGAAACTGTTTTTCTGATCATGTGGTTAGGCTGTCTGTCCAGATGGGAGGCATGATATTGATATGCATAGATGTATTCCTGAAGTGGCCTTTGCTTAGTTCAGGGTGGAGACTTCAAGCACTCATCCAGGAAATCATGCTTTTAGTTGTTTCATAGAATCATAGAATGGTTTGGGTTGGAAGGGACCTTAAGGATCACCTAATTTGACTGCCAAGGATGGGGACACCATCCACTAGGCTCAAAGCCCTGTCCAACCTGGCTTTTCACATCAACTTAAATGAATAATTATATTCCATGTTTACAGCTAGCTGATTTCATAAGAACCTTTTTGTATGTTCATACACAGTACTGTGGATAAACATTGTTTTCCCAATGTGACAGTAAGGAGGCCTTTAGCTTTTAATCCACCTGCAAGAAATTGTATACCAAAAGAATTTCCAAGAATGATGCAAATCTATAAGCTTCTGTTCTCACATAGTTTAAAAAGAGGAAATCTGCTGAAACTGGGGAAAATACCACTGTGAATAAAGGCCTTTAATTAGTTTGTTGTGTTGTTTTTTTTTTTTTTTTCTGGGAGACTTGGGGGGGTTGGCGTTTGTTTGTTTTCAAAGTAGTATCATTCACTTAGTTCTGCAACCAGTTTAACTCATGATAAACCAGTGGTGCTACCTCTGGCTCCTTGTTCCTTCCTTGTCTTGGACTGACACAAGTGTTAGTGTGGGCTGAGGGGTGGGCTGGGTCAGAGAACTGAGCCAGCTGAGCTTGGAATGTAGCAGAAGAGCAGAAACAGCTGAATTCTTTAGCCAGATCAGCTGTCTTGTACAGCTCACTATGCAGCCAACCAAAATACTAGCTCCAGCATGGAGAGTGGCAAGAGAAACACCTCTTTTGGCAAGAGTGCTGATTTCTGTGCAGGCTTAAGCCTGGAAGTCTGCTTTGACTGCATTGTATCCAGCCATAGGTTTTGCTTCATTCAGTAGTTGGTATAAGGCCCTGTGCAGTAAAAGCCTGAAAGATGGGTGATAACTGAGCCAGCATAATCACAAGGAAAAGCTCATTGTTCACACTTCTGCTGGATGGGAAGGATATGTATAAGGCTCCTGGTGATCAGGACAGAGAAATTCCAGCTTAGCAGTAAAAGCTTAAATAAAAATGTGTCATTTGTGTTTTTAAAAGAACTTGATTATAACATTATGGGATCATTAAAATTGCTCTTTTTTTTTCCTAGGAATTTATCAAAGAGCTGCTAACTCGGATAAGAGGAATGAGGAAACTCAGTCCCCCTCAAAAGAAGAGTATATAAATAACTCAAAGTAATAGCACTCCCTAAAAGACATGGCAAGGGAAATGGGACTTTGAATACAAGACCTTTATTAAAATAATTGTCTTTCTCCACAACTTTTTTGATTTTATTCAGTTTTGACTCAAGGAATTTTTTTGTGTGTGTTTTAAGGCTTCTTTTTAAAGTGTCAATTATTTTTTATCAAAAATATCAACAATTTGGATGCTGCTCAACTTTCATCTGGAGGATTACTGAAGCAAGTGAAGAATCCAAGAGTTAGAGATGAGGGGCAGCAAGCCTATGTGGTGAACCAGAAGATCTTGTAAATTTACAGAGCTAGGAGACTTCTCCTTGCAACTAGTTGGATAACTTTCTTAAGTTGGTTGTACATTTAACTCATGGATGTCAAGTTTCTTGTGCTTGTCTGTACATAAATTTTAAAGTAGGTTGTGAATACTGTTTCACATGGATGGAAGGAGAAGTTTGTTATAGTAAATTATTTAAATGGTGGTTATTGCAAATTTGCTACCAAAAGGTACCAATTTAGATTGCTAAAATGAATGCTGCCATTTTTCTAAATATCCTTAAGGCAACCCAGTGAAGAATCTCATCATATCTCCTTGTTTAGACCGCAGCATATGAAAATTGGGAATTTTAAGGGCTTAATTTGTAGACTTAAAAGTTATTTGATTGACTTTGATGCTTTGCCAGGATCACTTCCTCTCCACCTCATGGTGTCTTGGAGCTGTGCTGACCTATACTGAAAATGGGCCTGGAGTGATATCTAGAGAAATGTCCACGAGCATTTAAAAGCTGGTTCATGCTGGAGGAAAGGCAGTGATACCAAAATGAATTGCAAGTACTGTATTGCATTTAATGATGTGGTCTTAATCAAATGCAGATTCCTCTCCTATAAAAGTAGGCAAAGAGTAATACAGCCTTTGTTTATGGCTCTGCCCTGAGAAGTGGGAGACTTCTTAACTTGGGCTCTCTTACTTGTAAGAGCAAGAGCAGAGATCCCTGCTCCCTTCTGGAAAATGTCCTAACTAGAATGTTTGACAAGCTACCATTTACTGGTAGGTGACATTAGTCAGGCATTTTATATCAAGGGTGCTCTGAACATATTTTATTTTTCAAAAGAAGTACATGTTTGTGAATTTTATGTATACTGGCAAGCTTTTTTAATGTATTTAATTTTGTAATGTTTACTGATGATTTTATTTACCAGATATTTACTCAAATAAATGGAACAACTTGTGACTTGTTACATGTACACTTTACAAGACTACTGTTGCTGAGTAGGTTTGCAAATGGAATTGCTTGTCAAAAAGAGAAGCCTGTAGAGAAGGTGGTAAGTACTTGGGAACTCAGCTGTATTGACCTTAACTGGCTTTTAATGTAGCCATTATCACTCAGCCCTTGCCCAGTATCACTCACACTCCTGTAACCTGGTGCACATTTGAAAGTCTCCTCCAGATGAGGCTTTCCTTCCCTGTGCCTTAAAGAATTTAACAAAGGGTGGGGAAAAAAAGCTTAGAAGTTCTTTCAGATAAATGCTGACAAATTCAGATTTTTTTTTGTCCACCAGAGATGGACTGTAGGGGAAGGCTTACACTGGGTGGTCTCAGTTTCCTAGTGAAGGTGTGGCAGAAGGGGATCTTTCAGAAGGAGACACTCTACCTTTCTTCCTTTAGGCACCTTTTTGGATCCTCAAGAAATTCCAGCACTCTTGAGAAAATACTCACCTGCAGCATTTTAAATTTAAATCTTGTATCTTGCTGAAGTTGCAGTTTATCTCTGGTTTGGACTTGCTGGCAATTCTCATGTTCTCCTTTGAGATGGAGTCTGAAACGAGGCACAGTTTGAACAATAAGGGTTCTAGTAATTTTCACATTCACTGATGCATTTTGTGACTTCACTGACAATTTCAAATATCACTTTTTTTCCTTTATAATAACAGTGTGCCAAATCAGATGTCAATTAATGGCAACTATACCAGATCTCTCATTACCTACAGCAAAAAATGCTATCCACAAATATTTTTTCTTTCATGTTGTTTGGCTGAAAGCTGTCCACTTAACTGTACTCATGACATATTTGTGTCTTTTATCCTATTCATCTTGCACTGAGTAGCTGTGGAAAGTAGCAGTGTACCCCTTCTAAAACTAATAGGTTTAGTGGTGCACCTAGAAATGGTGAAGGCTGAGACAGTCCTTACTGTTGTTGCCTCCTGGAGATGGGTTAAGTCACTTCTGAGAAGAATTTCCTCCAACACCACAGGTTTTGCTGTCTTAGAACTGTCAGGGAGCAAAACCAAGCTCTAAATAGCTTTTGTTTGCAGCTGGCCTGATTTTCCTGGGGACTTGTGGGGTCTCATTCTTGCTAATTTTTACTTAATGGAGCTACTCTTGGCCTTGGTGTTAGTGAGGGAGGAATTGACCCATTCACTAAAGATTTAATTGTGCTTTATGTCTTTATACTGTGTGGGTGTTCTTGGCTCTGGGGAAATATTCAAGGAGCATATAAATAGCACTCTGTTACTGAAACAACTTGAAATTAAATCTTACAGCCCAGTCTCTTTACTGTCTTGGCTGGACAGCTTTCCTGAGAAGGGCCAAGTTGTTGCAATGAGAGCTTCCTCTGGGCTTTTTAAGTGGCTAATGAAAGAAACTGAAGTTCCTTCTTATAAATACAGAGTGAAGCTGAGGTTTTTGTTTTGGAATTGAAGTGCCCTTGCAGTGTTAAAAAATTACTTTCAAGAGCATGTGTTTCTGGAATCTGCTTCATGACATAATTAGCTTTTCCATGTTTTACAGCAGGACCTGACAGTTGGCTTAGAAAGTGCTTGTGTAATCATACTGAGTGTGCCTCAGGAAGCTGCAGTGACAGAGTGCTGTATTCCTGTGGCACAGAAGAAAGGACATGAGCCATTTGCCTGTCAGCCTTATTTTTGTTCCTTCCCCCCCAACAATGGGGTTTACTCCTGAAGCTGCCATTCATGCAGGGAACATCATGCAGAATGTGGAAGGGAGATTTTTTCTATTCTCAGAGAATATGGTCAAGAAAAGCAGGAGCAAAATATCTGCCCTGTTTGTGCACTTGAAACTCTTTGACGCAGAGTCTTAGTAAGAATTCTTAGTACTTTATGCTGGTAGGTAAAATAGCATAAGTGAAATTGAAATTACTCAGCAATTTATTTCTAAATGGTTTTTCAGATTCAAGACAGTCTTAATGTAAACATGCAGCTCCACGGTATTAAAAAAAAATTGCTAGCCACATCAACAGAGACTTATTTGAGTGGAAGCTAGAAGAAAATGTAGGTCTTATTCTGAACAAACAGTATTTTGAACTGAAAACTCTGGTGAAGTGCTGTAACAAAAGGAAAAATTGCTTCTTGGCTGCATAAGATTTGTCATTGTGTACTGCACAGATTGTTTACAGGTACTGAGTAACTGCATGCAATACTTTTCAAAAGGTGTTGAGATTTGGGGAGGAAGCCAGAAAAGAAATCAGATGTTGGGAAGTCCAGGAAAAAACATCACTGAGAAAATTTCCTGTTAGGAAAACAGAAGAGTCTTGTGTTACTGCATATATTTCTGTATGGAAATAAAATGAGAGATGTCAGTGCTTTCATGTATTGGAGAAAAGCATGAAGAGGAGAAATGCCTAGAAGATAAAGGAAGGAAACTTGAAGTGTTGAAGAAAATAGAGCATCCTGATGGTGATGAGCCCTTTGAGCTTGCTACTGTGGGAATAGGTGAGCTTGACATCTGTTAGTATCTCCAAATGGAAATCAGATGCTTTTCTAGATAAGATGTCATTGGACAGTTACTCAGTTTCGGTCAAGGTGATCAAAGGCCTTAAAACTCTTGACTCCTGCTTTGTGGGGTTTTGCTTGTTTGTGGGCTTTTATCTATGATTGGTTTTGGTTTTGTTTTGGTTTTTGGTTGGTTCTAGAGTTTATGTTAAAGCAGAGGAAACTAATAGGAAAGTGAGTTCTATGTATTATGGCAATGTAATGACATGCTTTTGTAGTGATTAAATCAGATCACTAATACTAGCTACACATTTTATATATAACTCAACTACTTTTTACTTGACTTTTATGGTACTACTTTTATTTTTTCTGGAAGTAAGAAAATAAGAATTGTGAATGTAATTAAAGTTGCTGTTGAAAGCCAGAGAGAAATTGAAATGAAGAAGAGAAAATGTGACAAGTACTTACTGCAGCAAATTTTATTTTTGTCACTGGAGGATTCTGTCACCAGTGTGTAAATAGAGTGTTTCTGAAATTTTGAAATTGCTATTTGTAATAATCAAACCTAGAGCTGATGGGGTTTTAATTGTTTTGTGGTTTTTTTGGTGGAAGTAATAACCAAATTCTATGAACTTACACTGTTTATAGACTTTACTGTTTTCCAACAAAAACTGACATCAGTTTTTTAATGAAAGTGAGCTATTTAAAAAATTATCCTAAAAAATGTATAGAAGACTGAAAAAATCTTTTGGAGGTGCAGCTAACAGGTTTTGTTTGGTAGCATTGAATTGGTCTTATTGAATTGGTATTTTAGTTAAACTTTTTATCTTCCATGATCAAAATCAAAAATATTCTGTGGTAGCCCTTAGCAGAGGTTTCAGTCTGCCTGACTGTATATTACTGGGTTGGACTTGAAGCCCATCATTACTTGGCAAAAAACGTAGCAGCTGATCCTCTTCAAGGACAGAGAGTTGTTTTACCACCCCTTGTAGGGCCAAAGGGGATGAGAGCACAAGAGGCTTTCCTGCCTTCCTAAAGGAGGATCCTGCAGTCAATGTCAGCAAGGCTTTGGGTCTTGCAAGAGTTTTGTGCCCAGTTTCTGCCACTAACCCAACAAACTGCATGTTTTCTGTTGTGTCTTTCCAGACTTAATTTCAAGCCTGCCAAAGCAATATTTACTAAGTCAGTTTTGGTGCCCATTGTCTCCTGTACCTCCTGATGTGTTGGCCAACAGTCTGCATTATTTTTCCCCATTCCTTCAAGTCTGACATCTCAATTATTTGTCTTAGGAGAAAGACTTACTACTATATGGAAATGGAAATGTGTCATGGTGCTATTTCTGCCACAGTGTTTCTGCTGTCAGTACCAAATCAATCCAAAATACTAGAAAGGATGCTGTAAATTTTAGTGTCTTCTGATTTATGGCCTCATACTGCTGGAGTTTACTCACTTTTTGCATTATTTCTTTATTTCCTTGAGTAAGTTTTCATCAGAGTATGTATGCAACTCAGCCACAGACTATAGGAGGAGAACAAAGTTCCTAGGAGTAATCAGTTTCTCTTAAATTCTGAGAAAGCATTATAAATGTGGTGTTTATTTTTTTCCCCCAAATATCTGAACAATGCATTTGCAGTGCCACAGAAATGTTCTTGCTTAGAAACCTCAGGGTGTAGTGTAAGTGATGAAACTAGGGCTGAATGGTGCAGACACACAAACTCACCAAATGGACACATTCCTTGTGTCCTTAAGGGAAAGAAAAAATAAACCCACATCCATGTCTCCTGAGCTCAGTGCTTGTCAGAGAATAACCTACTTCTCTTAGGCTCTGCTGGGCTTTTTGCTGCTCCAGGCAGGGACCCTGTGGTGATGAGTACTGGTCCTTGAAGAGTACTGCAGATATGAGCACATTTCTGTAATTGCAGACCAGCTAAATTGCTCAATCCTGAATCCAGTGTTTGGGCTGTTAAGAAGCCAGTGTTTCAGGCAGTATTGGTGGGATGTGTCATATCCCTTTTCCATTTTGCAGTGATTTGTGATGTGCACAGTCTCTGCTGCCACTGCCACTAAGGAATACTGCAGTTTTTCAGGCATTAAATCAGGAAAGAGCATGTTTTCATTTGGGAAATGCAGTAGTTTGTTACCAGCCCACACATACCAATGACTTTGTTCCTCTGATGTAGATACCTAAAAAACATGCCTTTCAAATGGGTATGGCTGTAAATATACTGTTACCAACTGGCAGTGTCTGGTTCTGTGAGAAAATGAAGCTGTTCAATGTTCTTTTTTCTGAACTAATTTAATTTATCCCTCCTAAACTCCATTTAACCTTTTAATATATGTTTCATAGTCATAAGAAAAGCTTTAGCACCTTTGGACAATTTTTCTGGTGCTGGTTTAGACTTAGAACCAGGTACAAAATGATCTGATATTGCAAAAAGGCTATAACTAGTTTGTAAGATTCCCTTCTTTAGAGTTGTCTCAAAGGTGTTTCTGTTTCCATATCAACAATGTACCAC